CTGGTAGTTCCCCAGTGCTCCAGGATCTTTGAAAAATATAGTTCAGTGGTTCTGAGATCACATCTGCCAGTTCCTTGAGAACCTTGGGGTGTAATCCATCTGGTCCTGGTGATTTGAACTCGTCTAGGCTGGACAGGTGCTCACTTACCATTTTCTTGCCTATCTTAACTTGTGTTTCTATTCTGTTTTTTATGGCACTGTTTTTGATAGGTTGGTCTGTTTTTTCCCTTTGTGTAAAGACAAATGCGAAAAACGAGTTAAATAGTTCTGCTTTCTCCCTGTTGCTTGTCACCTTCTTGCCACTTTCACCCACTAATGGACCAATCATTGGCATTAGTTGGGAAATATTTCTACCTACAGATGTGATAATTCATTATGTGAAAATACTCAAAAATATAGATTTGGAAGGTCCCTGAATAGATCCACCCTTTTGCAATTCCAAAATTGTCAACTAACAGGAAGCAATGTCAACTTAGCTGGATAAAAATGTGCCTGTAAAGGAAGCAGTCATGCCTGATTTAAAATCTGGATTACTATTGATCAAAAATAACATCTTATATGAACAAGGTATTTAATTAATGACAATTGTTTTTTTTAATCAAGTGGAATTATGCATATGGATGAAGGTTTCTGTTCTTGAAATTCCAGATTATACAGTATTTGAACATAACAAAACATCAGACAAAAGTAGCATTTGAAAAGAGCAATAGAATTATTGAAAAAAGGAATAATTTGGTAGTTAAACACTATGGGAAAATAAATTACATATATACTGAATGCTGGTGAGGTATAAAGTATATACAATCTATTATACAGGAACTTTCTCTGTAGTCTATGCTCTGCACCTCAAGCAACTGTGTATGTGGAAGAATCCTAACTATACAGCAGAGGAATATTTCCTAATGTATAATATTGTGAGGATGTATCACAGATTTTTCACTGACTGGATTTTTCCAAGACAGGAAGAAATGTGACACAGGTTGATGAATCTGGTGATTTTGTTTTAGAACAACTAGATTTAGAACAACAACTGTGATTAGTTTATTGCCAGCAGATGGTAGTCATCAAGTCTATTTAGGCTTTGCTCTGCTATTTTAAAAAAGAATAAAACCAATTAACTGAGCATTATAAAAGTGAGATGACAGACCAATACTCCTTTCCAATGTCATACATATTGATATAAATGGCACACTATTAACTTTCTTCCATTTTTGTATTGTTCTTAAAAGAATGAATAAGCTGGCCATAATTCAACGTTTTATTTGTCAATGCTGTGAAACCAGGCATCTGTGCAAGATTAATTATGTGTAGGGGTGACAGAGAAAACACAAGTGAATGTCATCTCATATTATGACCATAAAAATTCATTTTCAAGATCACTGCCATAATTTTAAAAATAATGAACCAATTGGGATATTCTTTATGCCAAAGGGACTTGGTTAGCAAACATAAAAAGTTGTCCATTTTTGACAGCTAAAATCCTCTAAGTCAGAAGCCCCAAACCTTTTGGGCACCAGGGACTGGTTCTGTGGAGAAAGATTTTTCTGCGGACCGGAGAGGGCATGGTTTCATGTGCTGCCTGCATCCCATGGATGGGGCTTTGCTTGTTTGTGCAGCCTGGTTGCTCGCATGCTGTGGCCCGGTGCTGGCCCATGGACCGGGGGTTGGTGACCCCTGCTCTAAATGTTTGAGTGACAAGTACACTTCAAAAATAATATAGGCACTGTCAGGGCTGTTGTTAAGGATTGTTTGTTTACTGGATTTTTCCCCATCTCATAACTCAAATGAAAGAGGATAAGGCTGGCGTGGCTTCTGCAATTGCAGGCGGCATGAGGGGGGAATGCAGGCGAAAGTCAAAGCTGGCCTGGCTTCTGCAATTTCAAGTGGCGTGGGGGGGGCAGTGCAGGCGAACAGCAAGGCCGGTGTGGCTTCTGGCGTTGCATGGGGGAGCACGGCAGGCTAACAGAGGTAGCACACAGCTTCTGGCGTTGCGTGTGCGAGGGTGGCAGAGGCAACGGAGGGGAGGATGGACAAAATGGGAAGCCCCCGCCCACCACTCCCTGCTCTGCCTGGAGCCTGACACCTAAAAAAAAAAACCTGCAGAGCAGTGCCCTTTTTTTCCCACCCTCCCCTCCATTGCCTCTGCTCCTGGACTCCAGCCTGACACTGAATGGGCAGTTCGTGCGCCACCTCCGTTCACCTGCCGCACCCCCCCCACAATGCCAAAAGCTGCACGCAATCTTTGTTCGCTTGCTGTGCCCCCCCATGCAACACCAGAAGCCACTCCGGCCTTGCTGTTCACCTGGGCTCCCTCCACCGCCCACAACTGCAGAAGCTGCGCTGGCCTTGCTCCTCTTCCCCTTTCATTTGAGTTGTGAGCCAAGCTGTCTTTGCCAAGCCCCCTTGAGGCACCCCTCCCTCCCTTTCTGGTCACACGCAACACACTCTTGCCTCTCTGCACCCCGTGGCCCCAGTGGCTGCTACTCCTGCCGCCACTCCCCCTCCCTCCAGTCCTGGTGACAGATCTTCAAGGTCCCAAAACTTGTGGAGCAGCAACAGTACTTTTTAAAAATCTTGCATTGCATGCTCCCCCCCCAATCCCTGCCATTACCCATTACCAATCACATGCTGCCCCCCCAGCACCATTGCTTCTGCCTGCCACCTAATTGGCTGAGGGCTATTTGTCCATGCAGCCAAAGGCCCGGGTCAAACGGTTGTCTGGATGAATGGCCTGGGCTGAAGGATGAGGGGCGGAGGGCCAGGGGCCCATTGGCTGAGGAGAATGGCCAGGGGAGGGCCAGCGGAAGAGGAAAGTTGGCTGTAAATGGGCTGAGGCGGGTGGCAGGGGGCGAAGGAGGCGCGGCCAAGGGTCCGTGCCTAAACATCGCATTCCGCAGTCTAACACCCAAATGCCTAGTCTCACTGGCTCTCCTATAACACTCAAATCCCTAGTCTCACTGGCTGTCCTGTAATAATACAAATACAGCAATTATAATAATATAAGCTAAGTTAATAACATCATAGTAACACATTAAATTAAAATGGCACCAATCACTCAGTGAATTTCCAGCCAAGTCCTTGCCAGCTTCCAGAAATCTGTATGAGACGAGCCATCCTTGCCCTGTTATTTCCAAGGAGACATACCTCTGAGAGAATGCCTTGCCCTAAGGCCCACTCCTATGTGCCTCCCAGCAGGTGAAATGCCTTAGCAAATGCTGTCTCACTTATATTGGCCGGATGAATAGATCTTTGGTAAAAGGGGACTCTTTTTTTTTTTGTATAGGAACTTAGGAAAGTATCATAGTTTAATTTGGAGCATTGGTCCGTCCTAGCCAGGATTTTGTTTTGCATTAATTTTTTGTTTTATTTCCAAAGTTAAAATACAAACGCCAAAAAGGAACAAAGAAAAAAAGAATTCCAGACTTTGTTCCTAGCCAGGATTTTTTGACCCTACTGATATAGGCTCTTAAAGGTATCTGGCAGAATTTTCTTCTACCTCTATATCAGTGGTTCTCAACCTGTGGGTCAGGACCCCATTTGGGGTCGATCGACCATTTCATGGGGGTCGCCAAGCAAGGCTGTCCGCCATTTTTTTGTCCGCCATTTTTTTTGTCCGCCAGTCCCTTGGGCTGGGCCAGCTGGTGGTCGGCCTGCTTCATCTCTGCCGCTTGCCAGCTATGCCTCGGCCGGCACAGGGGGCGGAACCACGCATGTGTGGCGCTCCCGGGCAGGGAAAGTCCTTGACTTACGACCAGTTGGGTAGTCCTCAACTTACGACCGGTTTAGTCCTCAACTTACGACCGGTTTAGTCCTCGACTTACGACCGGTTGGGGTCGCGGCATTAAAAAGGTTGAGAACCACTGCTCTATATGGAGATGCTAGGGATTGAACACGAGATTTTCAGCATTTATTCTATACTTAACCTGAGCTCTGAACTTGTTTATTCAATGTATATAGTTGCTCTCTTGCTAGGCAACTCTTAAGATGCCTAGAAGACATGTCAGTCTTCATAAGATCTTCTGAGTCAAGATCTTATTCCACGTATTTTAAACAATTGGGGGCTTTATTTTTTTTTTCATTGACCAGAAGTGAGGTGACATTATAGTGGTTACATTGCACAGTAATATACAAACCATGCCTATGTCTTGTCTGTAAGCAGATCAGTTCATGCCATAGAATGAGAAATGGAAAACAACAGCTGCTCATCTATAACTGTAGTTCTAGTGCATCTACCAATCATACATATGGCTATTCCAGACTGTGCTGACATTGTTAGAACATTCTAGAACTCAACTGAATTTTGGCAGGCCCACAAAAGTCTCATCCACAGCACACACTTGGATACTTAGTTTAGTTTCTTAAGATCCACCCAGAACAGTCATGGTGACTAGAATATATCCTCTTTTTAAAAAAAAAATGGAGTTGGAATCAAGTATTATATGAAAGTCAAGATAATTAGGTAATTTCCAAGCTTTAGATAATAATGTTAATGGCATCAGTAGAAGATCATTCTGACAAGACTGACTTAAGGCCCCACCAGGCTTTCCTGTGCTTAAGGAGCTCCAAGGTGGCCAATTCTTCTGCTTTCACCATAGTGATACTACTGTCCTCCACATACTTATGAAGATTCAGAAAATCTGGAATAGGTGCAGAGGACAATGTCAATGACCAAAGAATTATTATAAAGATGAAATGAGACAATGAGTAGCTCAGTCTTGAGAAAAGAAGACAGAAGAGAATATGACAGTATTTTCCAAATACCTACAGGGTGTCATACAGAAAGAAGTCTTGTAATCTAGCAGCCCAGAATCTAAAACACCAAATTATAATCTTATGTTACAGAAAAGCAGTTTCTGAAAAAAAAATGTTAAGAAGCCTGAGAATAAAAATGAGGTAGCAGAACTAATCACAGAGGGAGATAGTGAATTCCCTTAACTAGATCTGTGCAAGCAAAGTTTGGAGAGCCATCTGTGGGAAGAAGTTTCATATTTAGTTCTTGCACCATGGAGAATTGCATATTGTGGCCCAAGAGACTCTTTCCAACTCTTCAGGTTCTATATTTATTTTTTATCCCACCTTTATTATTTTTATAAATAACTCAAGGTGGCAAACACAACCTAATACTCCTTCCTACGTTTCCCACAACAATAACACTGTGAGGTGCGTTGGGTTTGCTTAACAGTCATTGCCTTATTTCCTCTGAGCTTCTTAGAGTAGAAAAACTATTGCTCAAAAATATGTTTTATATCAAACCTTTGTCCTTGAGCATTGTTGGAAGCGTTTCCCTTTTTAGAGCACCACATGGAAAAAGAAGAGGCAATGAATTGGATGGCTCCCCTGTTTAAGAAATAAAAATGGATTTAATTCAGAGTGGCATTTTAAGCACAAACAGCACAAAATAATGCTTTAAATGGCCACACTCTAAAACACTGTAAGAAGTGTAATGTATTTGACTCGTATGCTTACAATTGCTGAAAACATTAAAACTAAACACAGGTCCCATAGAGTAGAAGCTATTTAGCATGTAAATTAAAAAAAATAATTCATTGCCGAGTTATAGATGTTTGCCTAAAAAGATCTGGCAAAAAGATTAATTGCTTTGCTATTCTTGTGCTATTCAACAGAGAGCTCGGAGCAGAATGCTTCCAAACATTTTAATACATTTTCTCCTCCCATTCTGACATTTGGCATTCTTCAGACTTCACATATATGCACACATGTAGAAAGTTAAAGACTCAATTCAGCAGGATAAATTCATCTTCTGCACAAAAGGAAAGGTCAAGACAGTCCACAGGAAGGAACAGCTTGCTTTGAAAAGAGTTCCCAATTCTAATTAGTGTTTCAGTTGTTACTGACTGCAGCCAACATCCTTTTTAACATTAGGAGGGACTGTTAATTGGAGTTATATCTATCATTTTATCATCTTGAAAGATGATATTTCCATAATCACTAGTTCTGCTGGAACAAATACTGTTTGGAAATTAGCAAAGAAGGATTTTTTTTTTTAAGAAAAACAGTTCTTTGTTTATGCATTTCCATGACAGTTTTTTTTCTAACATTTTCTCATTAATTTTATTATTTACTGTCTCAAACCATGATTATATCTACAGGCTTAGGAACATTAAAAATGGCTAGATTGCACTTCTATAATTAGAGCAGGTATCATCATTAGTTCTTATGTTTTGGATGCTCAGGTATACATGCCAACACTTTGCAGCCAGAATTGTACCAAGACAGCAGACAGCAGTGGCTTGTGTGTTTTTTCCCCCGAAGCACAACCTTTGTTCCAGTACAAATAAATATTTAGGAGAAAAAATGAAAGGGAAAAATAAAATTAGGCCCATGCTGATTGACTATTTTATAGTAATAGTTGGGACAGAAAATTGGGAAGGAAGAATGAAATGTAAGAGGTCTGGGTATTGAGGATGGCCTGAAAAAAGTCACTTGAGTTGGGTGGCTGTAGAAATGGAATGAATGAATAAATAAATAAGGCAGATATGGGCAAAAGAATGGCGACCTTTGGTGCAGTTTATCTGCTATATTAAAAAAAGGAATTTCTATTTTTTTTTCATTTTTCTTGGTCTTCGCATAGCCAAAAATGGCATCAGCTAGACTAAAAAGAGAGCCGTCAGCACACATCTTTAGGGCAAAAAACTTTGGGAGTCAACCCAAAGGAGGCATAAGCACACACATGAACACTGTAAGGAGAGCAAATGGACATACTTTATTTCTATTAGGTTCTATTTATAGGTAGTCCTCATTGTACACCTATAGTGGTAATGGAGGCTGCCCATTATGGTCATACTGTATGTCGTGACCATTGTAAATTGGGTCAGTCATATGACTGATTGAACTGATCAACCTTTTTTATGGTGATCATTAAGTGAACACTATGGTACAAAATAAATAAAATAAAATAAAATAAATGCCGTTGTCATTAAGTGAATCCATTATTCACTATGGTGCAGTTTTGCTGAATATCAGAAGTAACTGCTGATTTTCAGCAAAACTGTTATAAAACATAGTCACATGACCTGAAAAGGGCCATAAATATGGCTGTGTTGCCAAATGCCTGAAATGTGGCCCTGCAGACTGATACGAACAAGGCTTTGATGTTAACACCAACTGTTAATTTCCAATATAGGCCTGTCCCATTATGATGGTCTTCTGTATCTCCAGCAAAAGAGTGAAGTTATCATGGCTACTTTGCTTGTGGTGCGCTTATAATGTGTTTCTTTGTAAGGGATTTAAAGATAAGTGAAGACCTTTTGATTTTGTTAAAAACCTGCCTTTCTATTAGCAACCCTAAAGCATCCACAAAGCTTCCTAAGAGCAAACAGTGTTTCCAATTCAGAGATGTAGATATTTCTACCAGATTTGTATCCTTTTACTTACAGTGATTTATATGTGAGAGAAAATGGGAAGGAGAACAGACCTATTTTTAAAAATGGTTGAGATACTTATTTTAAACATTATAAAAATATTTTTGCCTTTAAAGATTCCTAATTGAAGAAAATCTAATAACCAATAGAATGACCTTATTAAGATCTAATCATCTTCATCAGAATAACCTTATGTTTTATTAGGTACCACAGGGATGTCAGTAACATGAAGCAAAAAAAAAAAAAATCTGAGGCAAAATGCAGAGATACCGTAAAAGGAAAATACATTAAATACTGCTTCTTAAGGCTTAAGCCAATGCGATTCCCGAGAAGGAAAGTTAATCCTTTTAAATTGGTTTAGAACAAAAGAATAACATTTTGATAGCAGTATACAATTTAACAAGGAAAGCTCCTATAGTATTTTCTTTCTGTATAACCACCTACATGTGGCATTACATTGTTAAAAAGAACCTGTAAGATTTATCTTGGGAGAAAGACAAACATTAATGCTACCTATTTAATTAAGGGAACAGCTAACCTTTTTAGCACAGTAGATCAGCCAAAGCTAATACCAAAGACAACATTTCTTAAATAACAGCAACTGCCCTGGATCCAAACTAATATAGTTCTACTTTGGCCCAATACAACTCAGTGAGATAATTTAAGTGTCTTTGGTTTATATGTCCAAACAATTGTAGAACTAAAGTGCTGTATGAATGAGGCATTTTAAATTTTCTATTATCAATTACCTTTGTTTTAATTAACACGTAGATCTTGTGTTTTCATAAAAGTTTCAGGAGAAATTGAAATAAAATTAAATAGGGAACTGGCATGCTGTAAAATGAGGCACCCACTTTAGCCTTAACTTACATATCATCTCCATGTGCTTTGTACAGCTGCAGGTCCAATAAATGTTTTTTTAAAAAATCAAAATAATTGGTGACCATAGCTCATGCATTGTGTGAAAGTAGATTCACTGACTCAGGAAAAAAAAAGAAATCTCAGAGTTGTAGAAAGTATTATGGGAAATCAGAACGGATAACAGGGAATAACAAGACAGATTTACTTCTGGTAAATGGATGCTCTGGCACTGGCCAATACCCACTATGTTGGGTATTATTTAACAGCCATTTTCGGGAATGCCTTTACTGACATGCTCTCAAAATACCAAATGTGACATCTGGCCCAAAAGGTTATTTTTGCCATAAACAAAAAGTAACCAACCCCTCTCTTGCAAAATAGAAGAAAATCATTTTGGGCATCCAACAGCAAATGGCCTACATGACTTCTTTTCTTGCAAATGTTTTGTCAAGAGAAGAACTAGAGACTTTAATTTTGTGAAGAAGCAGGTTTCTCCCTCCAAACTAACACTACATTTTAGCATTTATCCTTTTGTTGTGAAATCCCACAGGATGCTATTTTTGCTATTGTTGTTGATACATATTTCAAGGCCAATCACTATTGCCAATCACGTCTCACTATAATGAGAAGTTTGTGGACTTCTTTCATCGTTAACCAGGAAAGAAAACATTCTGTATTTTATGTAGTCCATAAAATCATAGCAACATATACATACTGAAGAGAATAAAGTCGTACACCTGTCATTGAAACTTATGTTTCCACTTACGGTAGCAAATGAATTCTGCTAGTTTTTCAGCATTTCCGCAATCTTCTCCTTGTGGTTTGAGACCTATTTCAGTTACTGAGAGGAGGAGGAGGAGGATACAAGATAAGTAAAGAAAATGAAGGCTTATCTTATAGACATTTGATATTACTGTGTCATTGTTTAAAAGTAGAATTTTGTTTTAAAATTATCATATGCAATCTAAAGACCTGATCAACTGTGGAGACACAAGGAAATTGCATAGCAACATGGTTAAATCACAGTTGTTCACCCTGCTTCTGGTAACCAGATCACTGCAATTAAGCAATAGATTACTTTTTTTTACATGTACTATGAATAAAAATAAGTTAGTATTATACTTTGCTGAAAAACATGATGTCATGGTTCTGATAGATAGAACCGAATAAATCAGAACTCCAAGGTTTGAATTTTCCTCAAAGAACATATTTATTGGATATAAAATATCGGCACATCAAAAGTGAAACCAAGTCTAAAATTCCCCCCAAAGAGTTACACTATTTCGAAGTAAAAGTTCCCATCCCAGTGCTATGCAAAAACTAAGATACCCAATAGAGCAGTTTGACGGGCTTTCTAACAAAACGCCCAACCCTCTTCTAAGAGAATGATCTTGGTTCCCAGACTAACAGAGATACTCTGTCCCCTTTCCCTTTCGTGTGGCAACCTAGAACGAGCAAGATGGCTGCAGCCAGGTTCATTGTAGAGTTGACGCATGGCTGCTGTCTAATTATTTGGCTCCTAATGTTATTTTTGCAGTAACTTAGCCACTGTATAGAATACAATCATTACAAAAATAACAACAGGTTTACAGTCTAGAAAGACAATGAAAATATGAGATTATACTGCTACAAAAGAGAATACTTTCAGAGGATACTTAAAGTAAGGTTGAGTCAAAGATTTCATGCACACATAGCTGTATAGTACCATTTATTTCCAGTGGAATTGAAGGGGGCATATTTTATGGCTTTTAAGGAGTAGATATATTCAATGTACTTTTAAAGCTAAAATTGCATCCAGACATTTTTTTTATTTGCCTTTTCTTTAAAAACAGAAGCTGATTTGTCTTTTAGTACAGAATGCCATTGCTGAAACCCAAAAGTAGTTATCAGATTAAACTGCCTAGTGTGAATTTTATTAACAATGTTTATCAAGGATGAACAAACAAAAAAACCACCAATCAAATGTTCCTATAAAATATATAAAAGCAAATGTTCTCAAGCCAGTCAGAAAATTACCATTAACTACCTAACTGTAAATAATCTAGTCAAGAATTATTAGTGTACAAAGTGTAGTGAAATATACACATTTGTTGCAATAATTTAACTGGGAAATACTTAACTTTGCTGTCAAAATATCCCTGCTTTATTCATTTATTATGTCAATTGTTATGGCTGGCCAAAATAAATGAATTCCAAATAATATTTATATTGCACAAAGGCCCATAAGCCAGCTTCCACACCACGAAAAACACATAAAACTGGCTTATCTGACATCTTGGCCCCATGCCCAGGATCTTTCTTTAATAAAAGCAAGCAGGGCGATATCAGTCTCGGAGGTGATATGCTGTTCCAGAAAGCAGGCACTGTGACAGAGAAGACATGCTTCCAGGATCTCACCTATTGGCACTGTTTAGTAGATGAGACCTGGAGCTTGCCCAATCTGCCAGATCTGATGGGATAGGCAGAAATAATAGGAGACAGGCGACCCAGTCCTTACAACCTTCCCAGCTGGCTTCCAACAAGCAAAGTCAATTGGGAAAGTCAGATTTGCTTAACAATTGTGCAATTCATTTAACGACCACAATAATTTGCTTAACCACTATAGTGATTCGCTTAACAGCCATGGTAAAAATGGTCATAAAAGCAGGTCCAGGCACATGTTGACTTAGTTCATCAAATTACTTAGTACTTCTTTAATTCAGTGAATTAGTTCACCAAATTACAATGGAAGTTCTGTTCTTGATTGTGGCCATTAAAGCTGAGGATTACCTACTGTATATGGAAAATAGACTTCCAAACATTATTTTCTTATGATAAAAAACATGGAAACATCCTAGAAACTACTGATTCCCAGAGATAAATAGGAAAAAAGGCAAACAGACACAGAGAGTCTGTCAGCCTCCAAAAGCCAAAAAAGATACGTAGAAACTCTTCTAACCAACTTCTTTTATTGTGTTCCTCACCTATAGGCAACAATCTTGCCAAACTAAAGCAGACTACTTGCACCATAAAACATATACTCTGGGAACTAGGAAGGAGGCTGTCTTAACTCTCTTTCTCCTACACAAACTATCTAAACTGCAATGTCTTTTGCTCTTCAGGAATGCACTCCCTCCATCCTGGGAATCTGACAACATCAGATGTATAAATGTCCAAAAACCATTTTCTAATGCTATAATAATTACAAAGTAGCTTCCATATGTGTAATACTGGGGACCATGAACATACTTCATACATATCAATGTATTTTCTCCTCCAGCACATCCTGACAAATAAGTAAGGCTTCAAATGGTCAGATTGCTCATACGTATATGAGGAGTCTGACCACTTTGATGCCTTACTTATTTGTTAGATCTAAATCCCACCTTTCTTTCAAGAACTCAATGTGAATTCCATTTTACCCCCACAAGAGCACCCTCGTAAAGCATCCTAGATTAAGGGAGAGTGACTGGCCCTATTGCATGGCTAAGGGAGGACTTCCTTCTCGGAGTCTCCAGCCCTGGATTGCTACACTACTAGAGTTTTAGATAAGCTGACTGAATCCTTGATCTGCCATAGAGGATTAAGAAGCAAAGAGTCAGACAATACACTTGCTAATCTTGTTTTAACATGAAAACTTTTTGTCCTGCAGCCAAAATAGAGTTTATCTGTTAAAAAGCCTGATGTATACTTTTCTTAAACGTTTTTATATGAATCTAAAGAAGTGGCTTACCTAATCCAGCAGTAGCTTTCCCTACCACATAAACAGGTTTAGTATTCCATTCTTCTCTTAGATAATTCTTCCAAGCTAAAATGAAACAATGCATCTTTCACATTTCATGCTATGTTAAGCCATAAGCAATAGTGAACAAACCACAATAGGCGGATTCAAACTACTAAAATAAAACCATGCAAAGAACATTATGCTCACCTTCTTTTTTACAACTATCCACTAGGCCTAATTTAACAGCTTCTACTGCTCTTGGACTGGTAAAAATTAATCCACAGTATTGTTTAGGATGAAAAAGCTATTTGTTGAAGAGAGAAAAAAATAAGTAAAGTATTAATATAATATTCACCATCAAGAAAACTTAGAAAGCAAAGAGTTTCAGTATTATTTTCATCAAAATGTTAATACATGTAAAAACACTAAAACTTGCCATTTTAGAAATAATGGGATCCCATTATACCAAATCTTTGAAAGTTTATTGTGACAATCTGAGATTGGCATAGGGGAAGATTCTAGGGCAGATAATAAAGTGCTAAATTGATAAGCACTTTGAATATAATATACGGATCATTAGAAGACAACATAAAAGCTATCAAGCTTAAGACTACTAAGGCATTTTTTGATTGGGTAACTTTCTTTGTAGGTTACATGTCACTGTGATTAAAAAAATAAATTAAGTGTGGGATTTTTTTTTTAGAAATGTTCCCATCAACATTTTGTTGCCGAATTTTAGGGACATATCTAATTTTTCAAGCCAAGTCAACCATAGTAGGCAGTTGAACCTTTCTTCAAGACTGGTGATCAGATAGCATCCCCCACCACTTGAAGAGAGAGTGTAATGTATGAATGCTGCTCTCTCTTCTTTTACATTTTGTTGCTTTTGCCTGAGACAGCTCCTTATTGTGCTCCTTATTTAGGCATAGTTCAACCTATGCCTAAAAATGTGAAAAGGTTTAATCTGAAATAGCAATACGACTCATATTTAAAAATCCAGTTTATACATAATTGAAAATGCATATTAATATGGCTGTATAACCTCATATCAGCGTATGTTTACAACCCTATTAGCATGCATAGTTGATAGATAGATAGATAGACCACATATATACAAGATGCTATTCTTTTAAGACACCTTTCAACCATCTGCTTTGTGTACTATTCATAAAATCCAAGAACCATTACAATAAAAAGAAACAGCATAATTTCTAGCTCAAGAGATCCATTCTGGTAATCAAGTTAAGTTAGCCCTAATTTTGGCATAATTAGACTTATTGTTGGGTTATCTACTCATTGGTATTTTTTGCATCTCAGAACTTTGGTATTAAATGATAAACTATGGCAAAGAAAATGAAAAGAAAATAAATTGCTCCATAACCACCCCTAAAAGCATTTGAAAGTAAAACATCTTTAGGTGTTTACAAATAGTCAAGAAAGATACATGTATTTTTATGTTTTATTTAAATGGTGATTGATAATTGCTAATTCACTTAGTGATCAGTTTTAGCTATAAACTTAAGTTTATATCTACGGTAATTATAAAATAAAGGCCTTTTGTTCCTCAAATAACTACCCTTATCAAAATGATAACCCAGAAGTAAACTTACTCACTGAAAATCTAATTCTTCTTATAAGCCATTAAACCAATGATAATACTATCAAAGTGCTCACTCATCTTTTATGAACGATAAAGTTTTTCCCTTCTACTGATTCCGGATAAAAAAAGTCTTTAGGAAACAAATATGAAAAAAAGGTCAGCTAGGTCTAGTTCACTTTTTTGGTAAGCAAACATATCTCTTCTAGATATTATTGAATTAGCAGTGTCACAGGCAACATTTCCTATATGCATTGGTTCTTAGTAAAAGGAAAAAAGTATGGATGGTGTAAATAGTTAAAAGGTTTTAAGCAAAGATTTCAGAGTTCTTTGGTCTTGAACATTGACCTGTTTCAATAATAGTAAAAAAAAAACCTACATGGTACATTTTGAAGATTTAATTGCTATATTAATATATACATATTTATTGTTATTATATGTCTCCGGACTCATAAAGCAGAAAAACTTAGGTAGACTTCTTCCCTTTGTGTTTTGCTTATGAATTTTCATTTAGAACCTGCTGTGAAACACTTTTTAAAAGTTGGTTGGCCTTAAAATCATTTAGATTGCTTGTATTAAATTTGTATTTAAAATTCTATCCTCACTTCAAAAATGCTAAAAATGGTGTTCATTGTTGTACTGCAATTTGAAATATCCCAACAATAAACTATTTTAATCTAGTTTCATTCTCTTCTTCCCCCATCCATCACTTTTGATGGTCTGGATGGTAAGCTTGCTTCAGAGATTTAGAATGCGACTTTATACTAATACAAGTTGAAAACAAGTCTATGTATAATCAGAGAAACTTCCAAATTAACATAAAAATGACGTGATACTAAGATTTACTAAAGGAAATTCAATGCAGATGCTATTAAGCTTTTAAAATTGTTTTTAATCTGATTGCTGTTTTTTAATAAATGTGAGCTGTCCAGAGATGTAGACGAGTGGGCAGACATATAGACTGAATGAATAAATAAATTTAAAATTAAGACATTCTTAGATTTGTAATTTGTTCTGACCACCAAAATTAGAAATGGTCACAGTACTTCAACTCCATGATAGTAATTACCCCTCTCTCAGAATATTAGAATAATAAACTTAATTGCAGGGCACCAATAAAAAGGGAATCATTCTTCATGCAAAGAATAGAATTTGCTGCCATGAAAGATGCTAGTCACTAAATGATTTCAAAACACGACTGACTATACACATTGCTGAAGGATGGGCCTATTAATGCAGCCATCAACATGTACAATTATATTACTGCTACTAGCAGCATTTAAAGATCAGTTCGTATAAAGCAACTGTGAAAAATGTTTTGTGAGTTTTCTGAATATATGTGATACAATACCATTTGCTCAGAATACTGGATTAAGATAACTAGGTTTTGGCCGGGATTAGCAAGGTTATTCTTATATTCTTAAAATCCATTATAGTTTTCTCTTAATTTTTGATTATCACAATATTAGGATGGAAGAGTTTGTCGCTACCAAACTGTTAGGAATCAGACATTTTTGCTTATCTATTACAATTCACACAAACACACTCATACAGGACTTACTATAAGTGTCCTGTCCCCAATAGGGTTTATAACATCAACATTTGAATTGCTAACCAAATTAACAGAATGAAAGGAAAGATAAATTCATAGTTTTAATAGCATGGGATATTACTTCAAATAACATTCAAAACTTACTTTTTCAGAGAAAGTTTGAAGAGAAATAAATTCAAATGCTAAAACTGGAATTAAGGTTGCTTTGAGTCCGTGTGAACCAAGTTCCTTTAAAAGAGAAGTACAGAGTTTTATGGAAAAAAAGGAATCCCAATTGAATTATTACCCATTACTCATTGAAACACCTAAAATTATGGATTTAGGAGTGGAGTGGAGTGGAGTGGAATGGAATAGAATGGAATAGAATAGAATAGAATAGAATAGAATAGAATAGAATAGAATAGAATTCTTTATTGGCCAAGTGTGATTGGACAAACAAGTCTCTGTGCATAAGCTCTCAATGTACATATAACAGTGGGTAATAAGTCATAGGTCATAATCATAGTTACAATCATTAATCATAAGTTACAAACTACAATTGATAAATCATAAAAACCAATAGGATAGTAGGAAAGATGAGAAGATGATAAAAGATTAGAATATAAACACTACTGCAGTATTGTTTTTAATTTCTATTTTTAGACTAACCAGGAACCTGTGAACTTTAACTATGGCACAAGATTAAATGACCTATGTTTTTAGAGCTGGTTGAGTAACCATCTTCTTTACTTTTGGAGCAGTTTGATACTAATATATTTCCATTAACAAATGCCTCAGCCCAAGTACCTGTCTGACTCTGACCTAAAATGTAACGTGTGACCTAATCCTGGAAGTGTATTTCATCCCAAATCTCTGCTTTTGTAATCTCTTGCTTCTGGAAAAGTGACGGAGCGCTCTAAAGCTTATGTCATTTTGCTGATCTGGATAAAAGAACTGTCCAATTATAGATTTAGGAAAATTTTATGTGAGCAGAAAACATAGGCATTTACATTTTATAAGTACTTCTTAAAGTATTGTAACAAGGCAATTCAAAAAGTATATAAGAATCAATAAACAGCACTGAAAATAGAGAGACACATATCTAGCCATGAAAATTATTTCACGAATAACATCATGCCAGGGGGGAAAAAAACTATGGTTTGGAAAATAGCTAAAGGCATATTTCATCTATTATTTTTTCAGGAATATAATATATAAGACTTTGGCAACAGCTTCTCTAAACTGTTTTCACTGTGATGTGGAAAAATGGCTGAATTCATAGTAACACTCCTGCACATGATTATACATGCTAAATAGATTACTTCATTAAAATGAATTTTAGTTAGTTAGTCTATATGATGTAAAATGTGGAAGATTGCTCTAAAAATAAAACCTGCATTTCTTTTATGTAGGAACAAGAGTATTACAAGAAAGTCAGACATTAAAGACATCAATCACCATTTCTACCATTCATTCTAATTTAAATAAAGGAGATTTCTATAATAAAAGCTAGCTTTACTAAACAGTCATTATCTATTCCTTGTTAACATGTGTCTTACTTCATAAAATGCTGATAAATTATTGTGAGGGCATATGTAGGAGAAGGCAATTTTTTGACACTTTGGTTGAAACCAAAAAAGACTTCTTTAAAATATAAAATATAATCTGTATATTATTCACCTACGGTACATCAATTTGATAAAATGCCATGTATTTCATTTTCAGGAAATAATTCCTATAAAGTTGAAAAGAGAGGCTATAATATAATACATTTTTACAATAAAAATGAGTTACACATTAAATTACTTCTGACAGTAGCCCTTAATTCATAGCTATCACAGACAATAAAATATTATTTCCAAAAGACAATCAAAAAGAGGCACAAAAACTAACATATTGTCTCAGCTAGTCAAAGTTGGGGGGGGGTGTTTAATAATTCAATTCTTAGTGAAATGTCATCTGTTAAGTACATCCATTACACTAAAATGAAGAATTACATTTTGGATAAGCTGGAATGCAATTCAAATACAATTTTTTTTCTTAGGTTACTCACCTTTATATAAGAATCTGGTCCACTATCACTTTCCTTTGGATCTTTCAATAACAACACTTTCATTGTTTACTTGTGTAACACCTTGTAATAGCGAAGCACAAAATGGAAATTAATCTAAATCAGGATTCTTTTTTGTAGAAGAGTTGTACCTGTTAATGGTTACAAGAAACAGGATAATTAACAACAATTCTGAAACGGTGTTGATCACACAATGAGTAGGCACTTAATGTGCACCCTCTGCAATTGCGTATCAACCCTGATAAGGCTAACAAAATGCACATTGTCTTTAAATGATACGATATGTCTTCGCATCTGGAAAGGAAAAGGTAAAAGATTTTATTTTACAAATATGCAGCATGCTAATTGTATACTATGAATCTTGCACTTAACTTTGTAACATATAATTTTGGAATTCCACCAAAGTGTTAGGAGAGCCATAACCACTGTTATAATACATACTTGCCAATGCTCTTACAGTATTTGCATGTGGACATCTAAACAAGCCCATCCCAGATGATGTTGTTGTCCTGCACAAAAAAGATAAGCTATGCCTGCCAAGAGGTTTCAGATATACTCCAAGTCAAATGTGAACATACAGCTCTTTTTCAGAGCAATATTACAGTATTTGGCAGATAACCTAAGGTCCAGCAGGAGAGAGAGATCCATTTTGTTTAATGCATTGGGGATGTTCTTTTCTCAACACGAAACAGTCTCAAATCCACCAGAGGTTCCCATGAGATCTAGGTGTATTTATACAGTGTACTTCTCATCTGCCTTTCAAATGTGTGGTTAATTTACAGAATAAAACAGACATTTAAACCATGCATTTTAAATGAGCCAATTAAGCAAGTTAAATTTAGATTGAAATAAAAGAAGTGGTATTTTCTAAAAATGTGGCCAGATGCCTTTGCTGTTACCAGACAGCTACCTTTCTCATTGGCACAGTTTCTGTACAGCAGAACCTTGCAGCCTCTCTCCTAAATATTTAGGTCAACTGACCGTAGAGAAGGCCAAATCGTGAGAGAATCAGGGGCACTGATCCCCAAAATGTTATCACCAGTGACCCATCAAATTCTATCATCAACTGTTAGATAGCCACAAGCCCTCTACTGCAAGGTATCTATGCATTCTGACCTTAAGCAAATGTACAGTAGATGAGCCTTTTCAGAGCCCACTTTGAGTCTCTCCCATCAGTGCTACTGGCAGGAAGAATTCATGGGACGCCTTATTTGCAGAGACTTTGCCCTTGTGGCTCCAGGGAGACAAAAACTCTTCCTCATGTCCTCCTATCATGTCTCTTTAATGATGCCCAAGATGTGCTCTGATCTAATCATTTCCAAACATGAGGACCACTTGATTTTTAAGGGATCACCTATCAGGTGGCCAAATATATTCATCAAGTTATACAACTCCACAAAAATTTTAATTATATTGTTTTGTTTTGTCTTTCCCAATAACAAATTCTTGTGTTGAACCATTTCTCTTTTTTAACTCTAAAGGCTGATAAAAACTACAATAAAGATATTGATTTGATCCCAAAAAATGTATTAATGTTTGCATTAGTCATCAGGTTGATTTTTTTGTTGGTGTGATGTTTTATTTGTTATGAAAAATGTGTGTTTATCCCTGTATACTTCTTTGAATCCTGCCAATGCATTTTGTGAAATAGCTAGTCAACTTACAGCCATTCATTTAGTGACAATTTGAAGTTACAACACTGAAGAAAATGACTTATGACTGGTTTTCACACTAAAAATTGTTGCAGCATCCCCAAGATCACATGATCAAAATTTGGATGTTTGGCAACTGGCATGTATTTATGATGGTTGCCGTATCCTGAGTCATGTGATCACCTTTTATGACAAGCAAAGTCAATGGGGAAGCAAGAGTCACTTAACATGTCACTAAGTTAACAACTGCAGTGATTCAATTAACAAGTGTGGCAAGGAAAAGTTGTAAAATAAGGCAAATTTCACTTAACTGTCTTGCTTAGGAAATTTTGGACTCAATTGTGGTGGTAAGAACAATCTCAATTTTGCTATTTTGTCATATTTGGGGTTTTATTTGATGTCTTACAATATTACAAGTTCTTCATTACTGTGTTTCATTTCTTAAACTTGCTTTCTTGGAACAGAATGGAATGGAAATAGGAATAGAATCCTTTATTGATCAGGTGTGATTGGACAAACAAGGAAGTTGTCTCCAGTGCATAAGCTCATAGTGTACATACAAACAGTAAGTAATATGCCACAGATTATAAATCATAGTTATAATCATTAATTATAATTACAAACAATTGATAAATCATAAGAAACAAATAGAAAAAGATAGTAGGAAAGATGAGAAGATGAGAAATGATGAGAAATAAGACAATGCTGTGGGAATTAAGTGTTCATCAGAGTGATGGCACAGGGGAAAAAACTATCTTTGTGTCTAGTTGTTTTGCCATGCAATGCTCTATAGTGGTGTCCTGAGTGGAAAAGATGAAATAGATGTCCAGAATGTGATGGGTCTGTAGATATTTATTAGATACTAGCTGTACCCAGCCACGCGTTGCTGTGGCTAAGACAGGTTAAATGTTTTTACCTGTCACAGGTGTGACATCTATATAATAGTAGGTATATAAAAACACGCGCATATTCGAATGCAACGTTGTATCAAAATTTCAAAGCAATCGGTGAAGAACTTTCGGAGATTTAAGATTTTGAACAAACGAGCATTTACATTTTTATTTATATAGATGATATTAGAGCAGAACACCAGCTTGGAATCGAAAGAATGAGTTGTGGATCCAAGGACTACTTCTCCCCCCTTCATCTTTTTTAAGCCTTTCTTGTCAAGCTATACTTTTCTTGGGAGCCACATTGCAAATGGTACCCTTTATGGCAGCCATACTTAAAAATACCATTAATTTTTAGAGTAGCATACCTTCTTTTTCTTAAGCTTTCAGACCAGAAAGATGTACAGTAACAGTACATCACATCATAACAGTATGTCAACAGTATCATCAGGGTACCAGGTTTTACATAACTTATACTGCCTCACCCTCCTCTTGATGGGAAATTTTTCCAATTACATCCTGAAGTGGTGTTTTTATTCCTACTGACCACCAAGAAGCAAACCCCCCTCTAACGGAGAATGCATCTATTATATTATGTACTGTATTGTAGAGGAGAGTAAATCTATGATCTGGTTGGAATGAGGGCAAATGAATTGGATGGATAGATAGGATCTGGATAGGATCAGAATAGATAGGAACAGGCCAAAAGCTTCTCTATAAAATCTGGGAGTAAATGGGGTGAGGAATAGAATTATCTAAAGCACTTGTCTTGCCTAATATGGGAGTAATACCAGGCCAAATTAAAATAATATTAAATTACAACAGTCAGATTTCCTTGTCTCCCATTTGCCGTAAGGAAAATATTGGGTTATGTGTGACCTAATCCTGGAAGTGTATTTCATCCCAAATCTCTGCTTTTGTAATCTCTTGCTTCTGGAAAAGTGGTGGAGCACTCTAAAGCTTATGTCATTTTGCTGATCTGGATAAAAGAACTGTCCAAGTATAGATTTGGGAAAATTTTATGTGATCAGAAACATAGGCATTTACATTTTATAAGTACTTCTAGTAATTCTTAAAGTATTGTAACAAGGCAATGTTTTAAGGATGCTTTTGGAACATAACTTCACCATAATATTGCACTGACTTTTTCTTGACTTTAGGGAAATACTATGATAATAAAAAATAATGAGCAGGATACAAAGGTATTTTATTCCTCTCATTCCCTCACAGAAAAATAAAGACTAAAAATCTTTCCCCGCCTCTACTGAATGCAGTATTTCTCTCCCGCTGTCTCTTTTGGAGGGGGGGGGCACTTCAACTGCAGTACATTCTTAGCTTGTGTTGCTAACACGAGATTTCTATGCCTTGAAAAAAAACGTTTGTTCCTTCATACGTGTATAATCCTACCCAGCATTCTAATCCTTTGGGGCAATATTCAAGTCATACGCATAAAAAATAATAAAACAGAAAAAGCCACAGCTCGCTGTCACTGGAGGTTGGCTATTACAAAAACAAACCGTACAGCAGAAGTTGAGGTTGCGGGGGGGAGGGGGGAGTAATTAGGTACATTTAAACACGCATTAAACACGCATATACAGCAGGCTTACTGCATTGGAGAGGCAAAGACGCGGACAGCCTCTTTGCAGGCAACCAAGCATTAATGGGGTTACGCACCCTTTTGCAACCCCCGAGCGGTCGTCCGCATTTTTGTAACTCGGATCCGAAGGCTCCCTAAGCCAGGGGTTCTCAACCTTGGCAACTTTAAGACTTGTGGACTTCAACTCCCAGAATTCCTCAGCCAGCAAAGCTGGCTGAGGAATTCTGGGAGTTGAAGTCCACAAGTCTTAAAGTTGCCAAGGTTGAGAACCCCTGCTTTAAGCCGAGGCAGAAGCCAAGCTCCGCCCAAACCGACGAAGTTCCGTTCTCGGAATGCGCTCTCTACCTACCCATCTAAGCCTGCAAAGCCGGCGTAAATCGGTCATTGGTTGAGTAGGAACAGCTCCCCCTCCCCGCCGTGGATCCTCCCCACAGGAGGCAGCTTCTCCAAACCACGTCCAGAGGACTCGGCGCTCCTCTCCCCCCAACTAGCTCTCTCGCCTTTGCTTTCGCTTCCCCCGCCGCCGCCCCCACGTTTCCGGCCAGCGCATGCGCATGCGCATGCGCATAGCGGAAGAGAGAGAGAGAAAAAAGCATATGGCCACGGGGGCGAAGCGCAGGAAGGCGGATGGGCCTTCAAAGTCTCGGCTGGAGGAGGAGGAGGAGGAGGAGGAGGAAGGCAGTGACAGCCAGGCATCTGATTCGGACCTGGAGAGTGATAGCGAGGAAGATGAGGAAGAAATTAACGAGGTGAGTTGAGCCCCCCCCAGCCTGGCGGCTTCTTTTCCAACCTCTGCCTGCAAGTGGACAAGATGAGTTTTAGAGCTTCTTGACTACGGTAGAGCTGCTCCGGATTTGTCCGTAGCCTCGAGTCGGGAGGGGGGTGCAGGTGCGGGTGCAGGTGGGGACGTGGGCTCCAAAAACGCCGCTTGGTTGCTGGCTTTGGCTTCATTCCCCTGAGAAGATGCCGCCGTTTCCTTTTTTAACAGTGTAATTTCGCCTGGAAATCCCCTTTATTTCCCACTTGCTTCCCGTTCACTCCGAATTAGTTGAATTCGGGAGAACTCCTTGGTGTCCTAATGGACGATCACTTAAATAATATGAGCCGGCAGTGTGCGGCAGCAACCAAAAAAGCTAATACAATCCTTGGTTGTATAAACAAGAGGCACAGAATCAAAATCACGTGAAGTATTAGTACCGCTTAGTAAGACCACATCTGGAATGCTGTATCCAGTTTTAGTCACCACATTACAAAAAAGATGTTGAGACTTTGGAAAAAGCGCAAAGAAGAGCAACTAAGATGATTAAAGGCCTGGGGACAAAAACATATGAAGAACAGTTGCAGGATTTGGGTTTGGCTAGTCTAGAGAAAAGAAGGACTAGGGTTGGTTGACATGATAGCAGTATTCCAGTATTTGAGCGGCTGCCGCAAAGAGGACGGGGTCAACTTCTTTTCCAAAGCACCAGAAGGCAGGACAAGAAACAACGGCTGGAAACTAATCAAGGAGAGAAGAATTAAGGAGAAACATGCTAACAATGAGGACAATTAACGACTGGAACAGCTTGCCTTCAGAAGTTGTGGGTGGTTCATCACTGGAGATTTTTAAGAAGAGACAACAGTCATTTTTCTGAAATGATATAGGGTCTCCTGCTTGAGCGGGGAGGGAGGGTTTGTACTAGAAGACCTCCAAGGTCCCTTCCAGTTTTATTCTGATTGATTGCTTTTTTTTTATAATAAAATTTTATTAATTTTTATAATTAAACAATAAGTAATATGATGCATTTATAACACAAACACACACACAAAAAAACAATCCAACTCAATACATTATCGGAAACGCTCCGCAGTCCCCGACCTGCCTCCGCCCTCATCCACTTGCCTTTCCTTCCTACCTCTAACCCACAACCTCTCCTCCTTCCTCCTTCCCCTTTCTACATCCCCCCTCTTCCTGACCACCTCCTCGAGTGCAAGCCGGGGTACCAACCGAGCATTTCCTCTTCTCAATACAATTATAACATATGAATACATCAATTTTATTTTAATACTCCTAAACCCCTT